GGAGCGTCTGGTGGGGGCATGTGATGGGAGCGTCTGGTGGGGGCATGTGATGGGAGCGTCTGGTGGGGGCATGTGATGGGAGCGTCTGGTGGGGGCATGTGATGGGAGCGTCTGGTGGGGGCATGTGATGGGAGCGTCTGGTGGGGGCATGTGATGGGAGCGTCTGGTGGGGGCATGTGATGGGAGCGTCTGGTGGGGGCATGTGATGGGAGCGTCTGGTGGGGGCATGTGATGGGAGCGTCTGGTGGGGGCATGTGATGGGAGCGTCTGGTGGGGGCATGTGATGGGAGCGTCTGGTGGGGGCATGTGATGGGAGCGTCTGGTGGGGGCATGTGATTGGAGCGTCTGGTGGGGGCATGTGATTTGAGCGTCTGGTGGGGGCATGTGATTGGAGCGTCTGGTGGGGGCATGTGATGGGAGCGTCTGGTGGGGGCATGTGATGGGAGCGTCTGGTGGGGGCATGTGATGGGAGCGTCTGGTGGGGGCATGTGATGGGAGCGTCTGGTGGGGGCATGTGATGGGAGCGTCTGGTGGGGGCATGTGATGGGAGCGTCTGGTGGGGGCATGTGATGGGAGCGTCTGGTGGGGGCATGTGATGGGAGCGTCTGGTGGGGGCATGTGATGGGAGCGTCTGGTGGGGGCATGTGATGGGAGCGTCTGGTGGGGGCATGTGATGGGAGCGTCTGGTGGGGGCATGTGATGGGAGCGTCTGGTGGGGGCATGTGATGGGAGCGTCTGGTGGGGGCATGTGATGGGAGCGTCTGGTGGGGGCATGTGATGGGAGCGTCTGGTGGGGGCATGTGATGGGAGCGTCTGGTGGGGGCATGTGATGGGAGCGTCTGGTGGGGGCATGTGATGGGAGCGTCTGGTGGGGGCATGTGATTTGAGCGTCTGGTGGGGGCATGTGATGGGAGCGTCTGGTGGGGGCATGTGATTTGAGCGTCTGGTGGGGGCATGTGATTTGAGCGTCTGGTGGGGGCATGTGATGGGAGCGTCTGGTGGGGGCATGTGATGGGAGCGTCTGGTGGGGGCATGTGATGGGAGCGTCTGGTGGGGGCATGTGATGGGAGCGTCTGGTGGGGGCATGTGATTTGAGCGTCTGGTGGGGGCATGTGATGGGAGCGTCTGGTGGGGGCATGTGATTTGAGCGTCTGGTGGGGGCATGTGATTTGAGCGTCTGGTGGGGGCATGTGATTTGAGCGTCTGGTGGGGGCATGTGATTTGAGCGTCTGGTGGGGGCATGTGATGGGAGCGTCTGGTGGGGGCATGTGATTTGAGCGTCTGGTGGGGGCATGTGATTTGAGCGTCTGGTGGGGGCATGTGATTTGAGCGTCTGGTGGGGGCATGTGATTTGAGCGTCTGGTGGGGGCATGTGATTTGAGCGTCTGGTGGGGGCATGTGATTTGAGCGTCTGGTGGGGGCATGTGATGGGAGCGTCTGGTGGGGGCATGTGATGGGAGCGTCTGGTGGGGGCATGTGATGGGAGCGTCTGGTGGGGGCATGTGATGGGAGCGTCTGGTGGGGGCATGTGATGGGAGCGTCTGGTGGGGGCATGTGATGGGAGCGTCTGGTGGGGGCATGTGATGGGAGCGTCTGGTGGGGGCATGTGATGGGAGCGTCTGGTGGGGGCATGTGATGGGAGCGTCTGGTGGGGGCATGTGATGGGAGCGTCTGGTGGGGGCATGTGATGGGAGCGTCTGGTGGGGGCATGTGATGGGAGCGTCTGGTGGGGGCATGTGATGGGAGCGTCTGGTGGGGGCATGTGATTGGAGCGTCTGGTGGGGGCATGTGATGGGAGCGTCTGGTGGGGGCATGTGATGGGAGCGTCTGGTGGGGGCATGTGATTTGAGCGTCTGGTGGGGGCATGTGATGGGAGCGTCTGGTGGGGGCATGTGATGGGAGCGTCTGGTGGGGGCATGTGATGGGAGCGTCTGGTGGGGGCATGTGATGGGAGCGTCTGGTGGGGGCATGTGATGGGAGCGTCTGGTGGGGGCATGTGATGGGAGCGTCTGGTGGGGGCATGTGATGGGAGCGTCTGGTGGGGGCATGTGATGGGAGCGTCTGGTGGGGGCATGTGATGGGAGCGTCTGGTGGGGGCATGTGATGGGAGCGTCTGGTGGGGGCATGTGATGGGAGCGTCTGGTGGGGGCATGTGATGGGAGCGTCTGGTGGGGGCATGTGATGGGAGCGTCTGGTGGGGGCATGTGATGGGAGCGTCTGGTGGGGGCATGTGATGGGAGCGTCTGGTGGGGGCATGTGATTTGAGCGTCTGGTGGGGGCATGTGATGGGAGCGTCTGGTGGGGGCATGTGATTTGAGCGTCTGGTGGGGGCATGTGATTTGAGCGTCTGGTGGGGGCATGTGATGGGAGCGTCTGGTGGGGGCATGTGATGGGAGCGTCTGGTGGGGGCATGTGATGGGAGCGTCTGGTGGGGGCATGTGATGGGAGCGTCTGGTGGGGGCATGTGATTTGAGCGTCTGGTGGGGGCATGTGATGGGAGCGTCTGGTGGGGGCATGTGATTTGAGCGTCTGGTGGGGGCATGTGATTTGAGCGTCTGGTGGGGGCATGTGATTTGAGCGTCTGGTGGGGGCATGTGATTTGAGCGTCTGGTGGGGGCATGTGATGGGAGCGTCTGGTGGGGGCATGTGATTTGAGCGTCTGGTGGGGGCATGTGATTTGAGCGTCTGGTGGGGGCATGTGATTTGAGCGTCTGGTGGGGGCATGTGATTTGAGCGTCTGGTGGGGGCATGTGATTTGAGCGTCTGGTGGGGGCATGTGATTTGAGCGTCTGGTGGGGGCATGTGATGGGAGCGTCTGGTGGGGGCATGTGATGGGAGCGTCTGGTGGGGGCATGTGATGGGAGCGTCTGGTGGGGGCATGTGATGGGAGCGTCTGGTGGGGGCATGTGATGGGAGCGTCTGGTGGGGGCATGTGATGGGAGCGTCTGGTGGGGGCATGTGATGGGAGCGTCTGGTGGGGGCATGTGATGGGAGCGTCTGGTGGGGGCATGTGATGGGAGCGTCTGGTGGGGGCATGTGATGGGAGCGTCTGGTGGGGGCATGTGATGGGAGCGTCTGGTGGGGGCATGTGATGGGAGCGTCTGGTGGGGGCATGTGATGGGAGCGTCTGGTGGGGGCATGTGATTTGAGCGTCTGGTGGGGGCATGTGATGGGAGCGTCTGGTGGGGGCATGTGATGGGAGCGTCTGGTGGGGGCATGTGATTTGAGCGTCTGGTGGGGGCATGTGATGGGAGCGTCTGGTGGGGGCATGTGATGGGAGCGTCTGGTGGGGGCATGTGATGGGAGCGTCTGGTGGGGGCATGTGATGGGAGCGTCTGGTGGGGGCATGTGATGGGAGCGTCTGGTGGGGGCATGTGATGGGAGCGTCTGGTGGGGGCATGTGATGGGAGCGTCTGGTGGGGGCATGTGATGGGAGCGTCTGGTGGGGGCATGTGATGGGAGCGTCTGGTGGGGGCATGTGATGGGAGCGTCTGGTGGGGGCATGTGATGGGAGCGTCTGGTGGGGGCATGTGATGGGAGCGTCTGGTGGGGGCATGTGATGGGAGCGTCTGGTGGGGGCATGTGATGGGAGCGTCTGGTGGGGGCATGTGATGGGAGCGTCTGGTGGGGGCATGTGATGGGAGCGTCTGGTGGGGGCATGTGATGGGAGCGTCTGGTGGGGGCATGTGATGGGAGCGTCTGGTGGGGGCATGTGATGGGAGCGTCTGGTGGGGGCATGTGATGGGAGCGTCTGGTGGGGGCATGTGATGGGAGCGTCTGGTGGGGGCATGTGATGGGAGCGTCTGGTGGGGGCATGTGATGGGAGCGTCTGGTGGGGGCATGTGATGGGAGCGTCTGGTGGGGGCATGTGATGGGAGCGTCTGGTGGGGGCATGTGATGGGAGCGTCTGGTGGGGGCATGTGATGGGAGCGTCTGGTGGGGGCATGTGATGGGAGCGTCTGGTGGGGGCATGTGATGGGAGCGTCTGGTGGGGGCATGTGATGGGAGCGTCTGGTGGGGGCATGTGATGGGAGCGTCTGGTGGGGGCATGTGATGGGAGCGTCTGGTGGGGGCATGTGATGGGAGCGTCTGGTGGGGGCATGTGATGGGAGCGTCTGGTGGGGGCATGTGATGGGAGCGTCTGGTGGGGGCATGTGATGGGAGCGTCTGGTGGGGGCATGTGATGGGAGCGTCTGGTGGGGGCATGTGATGGGAGCGTCTGGTGGGGGCATGTGATGGGAGCGTCTGGTGGGGGCATGTGATGGGAGCGTCTGGTGGGGGCATGTGATGGGAGCGTCTGGTGGGGGCATGTGATGGGAGCGTCTGGTGGGGGCATGTGATGGGAGCGTCTGGTGGGGGCATGTGATGGGAGCGTCTGGTGGGGGCATGTGATGGGAGCGTCTGGTGGGGGCATGTGATGGGAGCGTCTGGTGGGGGCATGTGATGGGAGCGTCTGGTGGGGGCATGTGATGGGAGCGTCTGGTGGGGGCATGTGATGGGAGCGTCTGGTGGGGGCATGTGATGGGAGCGTCTGGTGGGGGCATGTGATGGGAGCGTCTGGTGGGGGCATGTGATGGGAGCGTCTGGTGGGGGCATGTGATGGGAGCGTCTGGTGGGGGCATGTGATGGGAGCGTCTGGTGGGGGCATGTGATGGGAGCGTCTGGTGGGGGCATGTGATGGGAGCGTCTGGTGGGGGCATGTGATGGAAAGATGGCATGGGGCATGTGATGGAAAGATGGCATGGGGCATGTGATACAGACATGTGATGGGGGCATAGCTCTATGTGCATCCCATGTACCCATGGCAGCAGAGCAGCATGGAGGCATGGGGAGATGCAGGAAGGACAGCAGCAGTGGGTGGCATTGGCAATGCTGGCTGGCAGCAGATATGGCTGACTCTTGACCCAATTATTCCTGTAGCACCACACGCCTTTTGTCGCCTTTTATCCCACTCACCCACGGTTGTAACGCCGCTCACCCACGGTTGTAACGCCACTCACCCACGGTTGTAACCGGGGAGGAATGGAAGGCTGGGGAGCTCTAGCAACAGCAGCGGCAACGGCAGCCACTGCTGTTAGCACCTGACACGCCCATGCCACGTCCTCTGGCCTATCAGAATCCGCCACCTGGCCAACCTGCAACACGGCATTCGAAGAAACATCATATGGGGCACACACATTATTTTTTAGGTTTTGTGGCATACAAGCACACACAATAGTACCTTGGCTTGGGATGCTAGCACAGAGCATGGAGCAACACGGGTTGCAATCTGCTACACATGCACTCACAACTCAGTGTGCCACTCTTTCATGCTCTCACTCACTCACTCGCTGCTCGGTGTGCCACTCCCTCCCTCACTCACTCACACACTCACTCACTCGCTCGCTGCTCGGTGTGCCACTCCCTCCCTCACTCACTCACACACTCACTCACTCGCTCGCTGCTCGGTGTGCCACTCCCTCCCTCACTCACTCACACACTCACTCACTCGCTCGCTGCTCGGTGTGCCACTCCCTCCCTCACTCACTCACACACTCACTCACTCGCTCGCTGCTCGGTGTGCCACTCCCTCCCTCACTCACTCACACACTCACTCACTCGCTCGCTGCTCGGTGTGCCACTCCCTCCCTCACTCACTCACACACTCACTCACTCGCTCGCTGCTCGGTGTGCCACTCCCTCCCTCACTCACACACTCACTCACTCACTCACTCACTGCTACTACACTGCCACTCACGGCCTGGGAGGCGAACAGCTGCAGCTCCAGTGCTGAAACGTCGGCAAGCAGTTGGTGGGGTTGAAGGGGCGGAGAGACCCACTCGCTCACTCACAAGCACAGTCGGAGGAAGATACAATTCACTCTCTCGCTGCTCAATCTGCCACTCACGGCCTGGGAGGCGAACAGCTGGAGCTCCAGTGCTGAAACGTCGGCAAGCAGTTGGTGCGGTTGGGGGGTGGGAGAGGCTAGCAGGACCGGTGCCGCCTGCAAGCAGGGCAGACAGCAGGGATGGGGGGGTTGGGTGGGACCATAGGTGCGGGCAATTTGACTTTTGATTCGACTTGAAAGTAAACTCGGGGATGGGGTGCCGGAGAGGCTAGCAGGACCGGTGCTGCCTGCAAGCAGGGCAGACAGCAGGGATGGGGGAAGGGGAACCATGGGTGCGGGCTGCAGGAAAGGCAGAATGGACATCTTTGAAGGTGGCTTGTAGCGCCTGCAGTCAGTTCAAGTCCCCCACATGACTCAAGTCATGGTTCACACACACAAGGATCAAATCGCACTGCATGCACAAATCCAATCACATCCGCCAGACCAATCAAGCTGCATCTCCCACACGAATCATACCCAGCCATACGCACACAGGAGAGGAATCTAGCAGCACTCAGCACTGGAGCTCCAGCCCTTCGCTCTCATCACATCCGCCAACGTCTCTTCCAGCTGCTCCACTCCCTGTAGGCCTCCGCCGCGTCTTAGTGTTCAAACTCCCTTTGAAAAATCAGAGGAAACACGGAATGTATCAAGTGAGACCAAGCAGCACTTACACAGGAGAGGTAGTTCGCCGCCCCCATTGCTCTCATCACGTCCACCAACGTCTCCTCCAGCTTCTCCCGGTAGTCCTCTGCTGCTGTCACTTTGAGCACACACGATTTGTTTCACCTCAGACCCCAGCAGCACTTACACATGAGAGGTAGTTCGCTGCCCCCACTGCTCTCATCACGTCCACCAGCGTCTCCTCCAGCTGCTCCCGATAGTCCTCTGCTGCTGCCTCTGCCTCATCCTCCTCCTCTTCCTCCTCCTCCTGCTGCTCGCTTGCCATTCCCCCGCCTACTCTGGCCGTGCTGAGCTGCATGCATGCAGGCACGAGAGCAACGGAAAAGAGCACGGTCAGAGACGCGTGTGAGATACCGTATCTCAAGCTATCATAATGAGCTCTCGAAAGCGTGCTCAAGAAATGGATGTTCAGCACGGAATGGGCTCTCCTGCAGCAGCTCTTGCTGGTGGTGGGCCTTTGGTTGGCAGGGCAGGGATGGGTGAAGCAAAAGGGTGTGAATGGAGCAGGTACTGAAAGGGATGGGATAAACCGCGCTGGCGTGGGAGAGGCACTGCTACATGCCCTCGTTTTTTCAATATTGCCACCTGCCCTTTCACATTTCCCTGTCATGACCCACCTTGGCATGCGAGAGGCACAGAGGCAGGGCGGCGAGGAGAATGGCGTGTGCTGCTGCTGCTGCTGCGTCCTGGGGTGATAGCGCCGGTGATGAGGGCGATGATGGGTGCTGCTGCTGCCATGCGCCCCCCCTGCCACACACCCCTTGCCATTCCTCCACCATGACTCACCTTGGCATGCGAGAGGCCCAGGGGCAGGGCTGCAAGGAGAATGGCCTGCGCTGCTGCTGCGTCCTGGGCTGATAGCACCGGTGATGAGGGCGAGGATGGGTTGAGGCGGGCGGAGAGGAACTCGCTCAGGCCTGACCTGGGAACGGCAGGGATGGACAGGGTGACATTTTAGGCAACTCAGAAATGACATTTTTTCAGCAGTCGAATCAATCTTCACCATGGGAAGACACGAACTCGCTCATGCCTGACCTGGGAACGGCAGGGATGGAGGAAGCAGAGGAGAGGAGGGGAGTGGATGAGGCGGGAGGGGCGGAACTCGCTCATGCCTGACCTGAGGGATGGCGGCAGTGGAGGAACGGACGAGGGGGGGAACAGCGATGCTGGTGATACAGCTGATGGTGGTGATACAGGTTATGATGGGATGAGGAAGACAGAGACGAAATCCTCAGGCATGACAGAAGCTGATGGTGATGGTGGTGATGATGGTGATGGTGGTGGTGATGGTGACGGTGGTGGTGGTGGTGGTGGTGGTGCTGCTGCTGCTGCTACTGCTGCTGCTGGTGGTGCTGCTGCTACTGCTGCTGCTGGTGGTGCTGCTGCTACTGCTGCTCACCAGAGCGGCAGAAGAGAAATGGCGATGCGGTGATCGGAAGAGCGCACGGACGCACATCTGTGAGCGCGGGTTGGAGGGATAGAGTGGTGCAGTGAGAGAGTGGAGACGCATGACTGCAGTTGATGCTCTTCTGACAGGGCTGACGGGTGTGGTATCTAGGAATAATCTAGCGGAGTCAAGTTGCCGAAAGCAATGTTTTTGGTTGGACGCGAAATACGTGTATGATGAGGAGTGGGTTGAGGTGAGTGCGTGGGTCAAGAGAGTGTGTGTGCACGTGCACGACTAGGCGTTTAGACCCAAGGAAAAAAGGAGAAGCGTGGCGTCGGGTGAGCAAGGCAAGGCAAGGCAGCAGCAAGGAAGGAAGGAGCGCACCTCAAGGCTGCAGTGGCGAAGGGGTCACGCAGGTGAGGCGAGAGCAGCACATTTGCAGGGCCCTGTGGTATGTATGGCACAGCACATGCATGGATGGAGCACAATGGTGCATGGATGGGATCGAAGAAGTGTTTTGAGACGTCTCAAATCAGCAGCACATTTGCAGGGCCCTGTGGTATGGCACAGCACATGCATGGAGCGCAGTGGTGCATGGATGGGATGGTAAGACTCGTGCGGATGCGATTGCGTCATGATTGATGAACTTGCGAGCACAGCGAGTTGAATGGATACGCCGCATTTATTCATCGTAAAAGGAAAAATAACTACAAAACAAAAGGAGCGAAAGAGGAAGAAAATAACCAAAAAAGGTGCATATCGTAATTCAGCAAAAACACCTGGATCCTTCCATTTCCCTCTGCACCCCTCTCGTGCATGCCTTCCACCCCTCTTGTCAACCAGAACATTCAAACCCTCAATCCGATCAGTCACAGCCAGCCAGTTCAACATCTGCCAAGGGCAGCAGACGCAAAAGCTGTTGGCATGTACTCCCACTCCTGCAACACTGCCCGCACTGGCATTGGCTACACAGACACCACACAGCCCCTGCTTCCAAATGTGTCCTTCACACATGTTTCTGAACTGAACCATCTCTTCCCTCTCCCGTTACCCCAGCGTCACTCACCGCCAGGCCAACATCGGCTATAGCCGATGCGAAAGCAGCCACCAGCCTCTCCCGCTCCTCCTCATCCGTCCTGCTTGTGCCAGCAGCACTGGAGAGTGGGTTTGGGGCTCCTCAAAACAAATCTACTCACCGCCAGGCCAACATCGGCTATAGCCGACGCAAAAGCAGCCACCAGCCTCTCCCGCTCCTCCTCATCCATGCTGCTTTTGCCAGCAGCACTGGAGAGTGGTGACGCAGGCAGAGCAGCAGCAGCAGCGTTGGGGGCCGACGAGGCGAGGGGAGGGAAGGCGTCCGGGTGGGTGGTGGCGGCTTGGGAGAAGGAGGAGAGGAGGCGCGGGGTAATGGTTGGGAGTAGGGACTGGAGGGGGTGGGCGAGGAGGGAGTGGGCGAGGAGGGAGCAAACAAGGAAAGTGTCAAAGGAGGGAGCAAACAAGGAAAGTGTCAAAGGAGGGAGCAAACAAGGAAAGTGTCAAAGGAGGGAGCAAACAAGGAAAGTGTCAAAGGAGGGAGCAAACAAGGAAAGTGTCAAAGGAGGGAGCAAACAAGGAAAGTGTCAAAGGAGGGAGCAAACAAGGAAAGTGTCAAAGGAGGGAGCAAACAAGGAAAGTGTCAAAGGAGGGAGCAAACAAGGAAAGTGTCAAAGGAGGGAACAAACAAGGAAAGTGTCAAAGGAGGGAGCAAACAAGGAAAGTGTCAAAGGAGGGAGCAAACAAGGAAAGTGTCAAAGGAGGGAGCAAACAAGGAAAGTGTCAAAGGAGGGAGCAAACAAGGAAAGTGTCAAAGGAGGGAGCAAACAAGGAAAGTGTCAAAGGAGGGAGCAAACAAGGAAAGTGTCAAAGGAGGGAGCAAACAAGGAAAGTGTCAAAGGAGGGAGCAAACAAGGAAAGTGTCAAAGGAGGGAGCAAACAAGGAAAGTGTCAAAGGAGGGAGCAAACAAGGAAAGTGTCAAAGGAGGGAGCAAACAAGGAAAGTGTCAAAGGAGGGAGCAAACAAGGAAAGTGTCAAAGGAGGGAACAAACAAGGAAAGTGTCAAAGGAGGGAGCAAACAAGGAAAGTGTCAAAGGAGGGAGCAAACAAGGAAAGTGTCAAAGGAGGGAGCAAACAAGGAAAGTGTCAAAGGAGGGAGCAAACAAGGAAAGTGTCAAAGGAGGGAGCAAACAAGGAAAGTGTCAAAGGAGGGAGCAAACAAGGAAAGTGTCAAAGGAGGGAGCAAACAAGGAAAGTGTCAAAGGAGGGAGCAAACAAGGAAAGTGTCAAAGGAGGGAACAAACAAGGAAAGTGTCAAAGAAGGGAGCAAACAAGGAAAGTGTCAAAGGAGGGAGCAAACAAGGAAAGTGTCAAAGGAGGGAGCAAACAAGGAAAGTGTCAAAGGAGGGAGCAAACAAGGAAAGTGTCAAAGGAGGGAGCAAACAAGGAAAGTGTCAAAGGAGGGAGCAAACAAGGAAAGTGTCAAAGGAGGGAGCAAACAAGGAAAGTGTCAAAGGAGGGAGCAAACAAGGAAAGTGTCAAAGGAGGGAGCAAACAAGGAAAGTGTCAAAGGAGGGAGCAAACAAGGAAAGTGTCAAAGGAGGGAGCAAACAAGGAAAGTGTCAAAGGAGGGAGCAAACAAGGAAAGTGTCAAAGGAGGGAACAAACAAGGAAAGTGTCAAAGGAGGGAGCAAACAAGGAAAGTGTCAAAGGAGGGAGCAAACAAGGAAAGTGTCAAAGGAGGGAGCAAACAAGGAAAGTGTCAAAGGAGGGAGCAAACAAGGAAAGTGTCAAAGGAGGGAGCAAACAAGGAAAGTGTCAAAGGAGGGAGCAAACAAGGAAAGTGTCAAAGGAGGGAGCAAACAAGGAAAGTGTCAAAGGAGGGAGCAAACAAGGAAAGTGTCAAAGGAGGGAGCAAACAAGGAAAGTGTCAAAGGAGGGAGCAAACAAGGAAAGTGTCAAAGGAGGGAGCAAATAAGGAAAGTGTCAAAGGAGGGAGCAAACAAGGAAAGTGTCAAAGGAGGGAGCAAACAAGGAAAGTGTCAAAGGAGGGAGCAAACAAGGAAAGTGTCAAAGGAGGGAGCAAACAAGGAAAGTGTCAAAGGAGGGAGCAAACAAGGAAAGTGTCAAAGGAGGGAGCAAACAAGGAAAGTGTCAGCAAAGGAGGGGACAAGGAATGGGGCGAGCTTGGGATGAGTTGTGGGATGTGCCAAAGGAATGCTATTGTTGTGCTCTGGAGAGTGGTTCAATTCAGTGAGAGGGAACATTGCGTTGGTTGGCCTGTCTCTGTGGTAATGCAGCTCCACGCGTAAGAGTATCAGAACCAGCTCCACGCTAAGAAATGTGTCAAAACCAGCTTCGCACGTGCCCTCACACTATTCCCTCCTCATGTGATACCCTCGTAACACCCCATGGCATGCCTCACCTCGTGCCGGCTGGCCATCTCGCCCACCACCTCTGCTGCCACCTCGCACAGACTTGCCTCCTGATGCGTTTCGTGTTATGCGATGGCATGTTGCATGGCATGGCACGATGCATGGCATGGGACGATGCATGGCATGGGGCGATGCATGGCGTGGGATGTTTGCATGCAATAGGAATGGAAGGGGGTTTGGGGGAAAGAGATAGGAAGGAGTTTGAGATTGAAAAGCGGGAACAGGCACACATGCAAAAGTGGAGGGAAGCACAGGGGACATCACAAGTCTACCAACTTGCACCGTATGTCCGTCCTTCCTTTCTCCCTCTCTTCCCTCATCATCCCCCCTGTCTCTCCATCTCTCATTCCCTTCCTTCCTGCTCCCTGCCACCCATATTTTTCCCTCCTTCCCTTCCTTCCTCCCTCCCCTCGCTCTTCCTGCACGGGCCGAGAAATCACATACCTGGAGGGAATCAGCAGCCAGCTCCACCAATGCCAGCACATGTGACTGCCACGTGTCAGCTGCTAACAGGTCCGTGAGGAAACCAATCCGCACCTTCACAAACGAACAGGCGTTTCGGGAGACGACAACGGAAGGGGGGAAGAAAGACAATGGGGAGGAACCAAAAAGAAGAAGGGGAGGGAGAGAGGGAAGGGGAGGGAGGTGAGGGGGGCTTGTGGGGAGGGTAGACATGGGATGTTGGCTGCATGGCTGTACAGACACCGAGAGGGTAGAGACATCATCGGCACAGCCTTGCCTCAGAATTACCGAGCTATGGCAAGGCTTTCAGTAATTCCCTTCGCATGCTTCATGAGAATAGTGAAGCTTTCAGTGCGAAGGGCAGCGATACTAGTGCACTGGTACGTGCACTGGTACATACGTACGTACGTACCCATGCGAAGAGGCATCTGAGCGTCTTGTGCAGCAGGCTGAGGGCGACAGAGCAATCCGCTGCTGCTGCTGCTGCTGCTGCTGCTGCTGCTGCTGCTGCTGCTGCTGCTGCTGCTGGTGCCGCTTGGGACTGTGAGAGTGCTGAGAGTGACATAGACGAAGCTTTCTGCAGCAACGTGGCCACGAATTTGCTGTGGGACAGGAGCTGCATGCCATGGGTGGGGGAGAGGGCAGTGAAGGAGGGGGAAGTTGGGACAACTTTTGAGGCGTGGGATAGGATCTGCACGCCTCAAAAAAGCTTTCTGCAGCAACGTGGCCACGAATTTGCTGTGGGACAGGAGCTGCATGCCATGGGTGGGGGAGAGGGCAGTGAAGGAGGGGGAAGTTGGGACAACTTTTGAGGCGTGGGATAGGATCTGCACACCTCTAAAAATCTTTCTGCAGCAACGTGGCCACGAATTTGCTGTGGGACAGGAGCTGCATGCCATGGGTGGGGGAGAGGGCAGTGAAGGAGGGGGAAGTTGGGACAACTTTTGAGGCGTGGGATAGGATCTGCACGCCTCTAAAAATCTTTCTGCAGCAACGTGGCCACGAATTTGCTGTGGGAAAAGAGCTGCATGCCATGGGGGGGGAAGAGCAATGGGCGGGGAAACGGGCAAGTACAGAGCATGTGGGGCACGGGAAAGAAAGTAGAGGCGAGAAAGAAGAGGCGAGAAAGAAGAGGCGAGAAAGAAGAGGCGAGAAAGAAGAGGCGAGAAAGAAGAGGCGAGAAAGAAGAGGCGAGAAAGAAGAGGCGAGAAAGAAGAGGCGAGAAAGAAGAGGCGAGAAAGAAGAGGCGAGACCGGTTTTGAGCCCTTGTATAGCCCGAGGAGAAGAGAGGGAGGGGTTGAGACAAGCAGGCTAAAAAATGCTGAGGACTCATGGGACGGACGGAAGGAGCCAGGAACTACATAGGGAGCAGCGGAGGCAGGCAGGTAGGCAGGCAGGCAGGCAGGCAGGCAGGCAGGCAGGCAGGCAGGCAGGCAGGCAGGCAGGCAGGCAGGCAGGCAGGCAGGCAGGCAGGCAGGCAGGCAGGCAGGCAGGCAGGCAGGCAGGCAGGCAGGCAGGCAGGCAGGCAGGCAGGCAGGCAGGCAGGTAGGCAGGTAGGCAGGCAGGCAGGCAGGCAGGCAGGTGGGCAGGCAGGTAGGCAGGCAGGTGGGCAACAGCAACCCAAGGTGAGAAACAGCACCCCTTACCCTTCCCCCTATGTAGAACATGTGCTTCCATTGTTCATTCGAGCTCCCCATTCACCCCTCTCTCTCCCCACAGTCTCCCCAGCCTTCCAACAGCACCCCTTACCCTTCCTCCCCACCCTCCCTCCTCTCCCACCCACCTCCATGGCGAACACGTGTTTGCGCTGCAGAGTCACCATCCCCACGCCTTTCCACGCGGAACATGTGTGTACGATTTTTAAGTAGACCCGGAGACCACTTCTCTCCCCACTCATTCACCTCCATTGCAAACACGTGCTTGCGTTGCAGAGTCATCACCACACCCACGTTCCCCATATCATCCCACACAGTCACCCCTCCCCCTCCACCCCCCCCACTTCTCTCCCCACTCACCCACCTCCATGGCGAACACGTGCTTGCGTTGCAGAGTCACCACCCCCACGGACCACCGCTGCTCGTCCGTGCACTCGTCCCCCACCGCCACTCTCCCCCATATTCCCCCACACGCTTCAGCCTCCCCTTCCCCCTCTTACTCCCCTTTTTCCTCACCTCCATGGCGAACACGTGCTTGCGCTGCAGAGTCACCACCCCCACGGACCACCGTTGCTCATCCGTGCACTCGTCCCCCACCGCCATTTTGAGGCGCCTCAAAAACGTCCCCCACCGCCACTCCCACCATCATCCCCCACGCGCCTCCCCCTCCTACCCTCTCCTCCACTCACCTCCATGGCGAACACGTGCTTGCGTTGCAGAGTCACCACCCCCACGGACCACCGCTGCTCGTCCGTGCACTCGTCCCCCACCGCCCCCAGTAGCTCCACCACTCCCCCCATCATCCCCCACACGTTCCCCGCGCCCCCTTCCCCTCCTCCTCCCCCTCCGCCTTCCGCTGCTGACGTGGCAGCTGCCAGCCTGGCCTCCAGGTCAGCCGCTGTGCCTGGCGATTGGAGGAGAAGCGCTGAGATGGATGCACAGATTTGAAGGAGAACCTGGGAGGCGGGGGGGGAGGGGGCGGGGGAAACGGGGGCGGGTGGGGGGAAGCCCGGGGGGCAAAAAGGGCCCGGGGGGAAAGGGGAAGGGGGAGTGCTCACGATGTGGCCACCTGGTGATCACCTGGCTCATTCATGTGGTAACCCGGTTCCTGCTTGACGTTGTATACCTACTAGGTGGTTACCTCATTTTGGTTATGTCATGGTACTTATCCTATGCTTGTCACCTGGTGCTAGTTACCTCATCCTGGTTACCTGATGCTGGTTGGGTACGCAGCAGAATGATTGGAAGAGGGAGAAGAGAGCGGATAGCAACGCGGCTCGCGCTGACGAATCAAGAGCCGACAGCTGTAGCTGAATCTTAGATCGTAGCGTCTGTGCGGCAAATAGGATCAACGCATTGGCAGACGGCGACATTTTCTGTGGAGTCTGCGAGGAGGAGGATGCTAGTAACGAGGCAGCACTAGCGAGGATGGAATGCGTGACCTGCCACGCCTCCTGCGACTGCTGAAACGCGCCGAGCCATTGCCCAGCCGCAGGGTCGTTGGCCAATAGGAGACGATCTAACGCCGCCTGAAGCTGCTCCTGCATCTGCTGCTGCGACGGCTGCGACATTTGCGACTGCTGCTGCGACATGTGCTGCTGCTGCTGGTTCTGCTGCTCCGCCATTATCCGATAATGGCGGAGAGCACTAAGGGGAAACGACGAATGAAGTAGAGCTTAGCAGAGTAGCTAGGATTTGACGAGGCAGGATGTTGTGCGTTGAAGTCCCAGATATTACCACGCTGCAGATTCTGCTGTGCAGTTGTTACCTGCCAAGAGATTCTCAGGTTGAATGTCGAACCCATGAAGCTCTCAATGCAACGCACAGAAACGCGACAGGTATGCGCGAGACCGCTCTGCACCGTATCGAATGGCGTCGACTAGGTGTTGGCAAATTACTAAATCCACAGCAAAGCAGCAGCTTGGCGGCGATGATTTGGCCCGATTCGTTAGCAATCAAGATTGAAGAGGGAAAAGACAATCAACAAAACATAACTAGCACTAGTGCTAACTTTTGTGGTAATTTCCCTACAGAGTGGCCTCTTCTACATACTAACTGGCGCACAATTTCTTTAGGGAAAATATGTCAATGGTAACTTACATGGGGAACTATAACGCGTACGGTAACGATTTCAACACGTTTGGTAACTCGCTTAACACGTTTGGTAACTCGCTAAACGCGTATGGTAACTATACACTAGCAGCCCATCACGCGAATGGTAACTAGAAGAAACCCTCGCCCAAAATGACCCTGATTCTGGTTTTTCCCGCTCGCGTCAGACTAAATTGACGAATCTTGAGGCAGAAATCTCTGATACACTCTCCGAAATTCTTGAGAAGATTTGAACAAGAATGAATGAACTATGAAATGAAGTGAGTACAAATATGAAACCCTAATTGGTTGTACCCCCTATGGGATACCCCACTATAGCCTACACAACAGCATAAGCTATAATGTTCTGACACACCCCCATAGGCAAAGTGGGGGAGAACAAGGGGTCACAAGACCAGTCAAGCAAAGTAAAGCAAAGCAAGCTCAGGGTGGATCACAAAGTCACCACACAGTCCGAGCACAGGGTCAAGGCCACACGGCCAGTTCACATGCAAGAGTACACACATATATATACAGCTAGACAAGCAAGAGCAGGTATATATATATGTGAGAGTACAGGCAAGGTCAAGAGGAGAGCAAGTGAGGCAAGACGGGCACAAGACACAGCTGAGTGCAGAAGCGCTGATGATCACAAGGCGGAAGTGCCTTGGTGAAGACATCAGCAGTGTTGGCCTCAGAGGCCACGTACGCAAGCCGCAACTGACCACGTTGCTGTAGCTCACGAGCAAGGAAGTAGCGGAGAGCAATGTGCTTTGTTCTGTGCTCCAGTCGCTGCTCTCGACACAAGGCCAGCATGGCCTTGTTGTCTACGTACAGGACTGGAGGAGAACGAGGCGGCTCTCCAAGGTCGGTCAGCAGGTAGGTGAGCCAGCGAAGCTCCTGTGCAGCCATGGCCCCGGCGTAGATCTCAGCCTCACAACTCGAGCCAAGAACAGAAGACGAGCGAGTAGCCCGCCACGAAACAGAGCCGGAACCAAGGCTGAAGGTGTAACCCTGTGACGACCGCTGCGTAGCCTGGTCGTCAGCCCAAGAAGCGTCCGCGTGCCCAGTGAGGACCACTGGACTCCGCCCTCCAAGCACTAGCCCCATGCCCGACGTACTGCACAAGTAGCGCAACACCCTCTTCGCTGCAGCCATGTGCTCTGGTCTGTGTCTCCCAGGAGCAACATAGCGTGCCAGAATGCTAAGAGGGTATGCAAGGTCAGGTCGTGTGCAGGTCATCAGGTACATGAGGCAGCCAACAAGCTCTGGGTACGGGCCACTCGACTCTACGGACTCATCCGAAGGCAGAGCTGAGAGCGAGTGGCGAGTAGACAGAGGAGTGGCCTGAGGTGAGGAGTACGTGAAGCCGAAGCGCTGAAGGACCTGCTGCACCATGTGTGACTGAGTCAGGGTAATGGTGCGGCGTGCTCTGTCCCGGGTGATCTGCAAGCCAAGGTAGCTGCGCAGTTCACCCAGGTCTGTGCACGTGTGTCTCTTCTGCAGCTCGGACTTCACGTAGGCGAGTCCAGCAGTGTCAGCTGTGGCAAAGACCAAGTCGTCGACGTACACGAGGATGTAGAACGGCGGCAGAGAGGTGTCGGTGCGTAGAAACAGCGACGGGTCGGCAGTAGAAGGAGCAAACCCAAGAGCCGCAAGTGTAGTCCTCAGTGTGTCGTGCCACTCACGTGGCGCCTGGCGGAGACCGTAGACTGGACGCCGGAGACTCCACTGGGTACCAGAAGGGAAAGACCCAGTGAAGCCAGGTGGGCGACGCAGCCAGATCTCCTCGTGCAGGCTGCCCTGCAAGAAAGCTGTGCTGAAGTCAAGAGAGTGCAGCTCGTAGTCACGGTGAGCAGCAACGTGCAGCAGTACCCGAAGAGTGGTCATCTTCGGGGTGGGGGAGAAGGTCTGAAAGTAGTCAACTCCCTGCCGCTGACTGAAGCCACGAGCCACGTAACGCGCCTTGAAGACAGGCGGAGAACCCGGCGGCCGCTTCACCCTGAAGATCCACATGCCACTGACGATGTTCGCCCCAGGAGGGGGGACAGCGTCAACGTAGGTGCCTGTGGACTTCCAGGAAGCCATCTCTGCATCCATAGCTGCCTGCCACTGAGAGGAGTAGGGACCCTCTATCGCCTCCGCGTAAGAGCGCGGAGTCGGGATGTCAAGTGCATCCGGGTCTCCCTCAGGGGTAAGCAGTACGGACACGAGATGAGGTGAGGCAGCTGCCAGACACTGGAACTCCTCCTGCCTGTCCTCAAGGACGTCCGTGCCAAGGGCACACTCACCCCCGACGGACGGAGGACAGACAGACTCAGACTCAGCGACAAGACTAGCAGCGTAGTCTAAGCGACAGCGAGCAGCAAAGTCGACGAGCTCAGTAACGAGAGCAGACGCAGCAGTAGACTCGAAAGAAGGGTCAGTAACAACAGTAGCAAGGAGACGCGTGACAGTAGGACTGGCAGCACGAAGAGAGTCCGACTCCGGGTCGGCAAGAGCAGGAAGAGAGGACTCAGGAGGAGAAGGCAAAGGGGCACGCAGAGGAGCAGTGGACGGACGCAGAGACATCCGGTGCGTGCCAGGGACAGGAGGAGGACGCTGACGCGAACCGCGACCACTAGTGCGAGCAGCACGGACAGGCGACGCAGGGCGAGACGCAGGCTCACGACGCTCAGCCAGACCTCCAGTAGGACCAGTGTAGGGAGAAGGAGCAGGCAAAGGGGAGGTAGGCTGCAACTGTAGCTGGGACGAGACAGGCTGTGGACACTCTAAGGGAGGAGGAGGACCAGTAGAAGGTGGAAGACCAAGAACCTGCTGCAGGAGTGGCACGAAGTACGGTCGAGGCCGCGCGGCGACGCTAGAAGCAGCAGGGACAGCACCAGAACCCTCAGCAGGAGCACCCGCTCCAGCAGCACCACCAGTAGCTCCAGAACCTCCAGCAGCACCAGGAGCACCCCCAGTAGGACTGCCAGCGGTAGTCTCAGCGCCAGCACCCTCAGCAGCACCAGCTCCAGTGCACCCAGGACGAGCACCTCTGGGACCCGCGACCGCAGCACCCTCAGCAGCCGAAGGACCTCCAGCACCAGCAGCACGCCTCCAGCGCCGGGCAAACCACTCACGCAGCTCCTGTGGAGAAAGTGGCTCCCGGCGAGACGAAGCACTCGGAGAACCTCCAGGCGGAGCACCTCCAGGCTCAGCACCCCCAGGCGTAGCACCCCTAGGCTCAGCATCCCCAGACGTAGCACCCCTAGGCTCAGCACCCCCAGGCTCAGCACCCCTAGGCTCAGCACCCCCAGGCTCAGCACCCCCAGGCTCAGCACCCCCAGGCTCAGCACCCCTAGGCTCAGCACCCCCAGGCTCAGCACCCCTAGGCTCAGCACCCCCAGACGTAGCACTCCCAGGCCCAGCACCCCTAGGCTCCGCACCCCCAGGTACAGCACCCCCAGCCTCAGCACCCTCAGCAGCACCAGAGTCACCAGTGACCTCGACAGGCTCGACTGCGTCTACCTGGGACACACCTGAAGGGGCAGGACCCTGAGGGGGGAGGGGGTCTACCTGGGGGGGACCTGGTACCAGGAAGAGTGGGGGTGGGGGGAGGGACGGAGTGCGGTAGGGGAAGAGGCGGTAGTAGGGGACCGACTCGTCAAACGTGACGTCCTGGGAGGACAGAACACGGCGAGAGGTGGGGTGGTAAAACTGCCACCCAGGCGCGTCAGGGGGGAACCCCAGGAAGACGCAAGGAGCAGCACGAGGGGATAGTTTGTCCGCAGACAGGTCGCGGACAAACGCCCGAGATCCCCAGACCCGGAACGCCGACGCATCGCCAACCTTCCCCGTCCACAGCAAGGCTGGGGAGGTCTCCGGCCTGGAGACCCTGGGGTGGAGGTTGATCCGATGCGCCGCGTACCTCACCGCAAACGGCCACAGAAAATGGGGGGCAGCCGCATGCATCATAGACGTACGAGCGACGTCCATGACCATGCCAATGCGGCGCTCAGCAATCCCATTTTGCTGCGGTGAGTCCGGAAGCGTGAAGGTCTGACGGATGCCCCGTGCACGACAGTAGGCACGCAGAAGGCCAGAGGAGAACTCTCCGCCTCTGTCCGAGTGCAGACGCAGAACAGGAAAGTCCGAGCCGAAGCTCTGCCTGAGCTGGAGACGAGCTACGCGGATCCAGTCGATCAGCACCTCAGTGACATCACCCTTGCTGCGCAAGGGGAAGACTGTGGTGTAACGCGAGTAGTCGTCAACAACGAGCAGGAAGTAGCGCTCGTGACCC